CGTAGCATTTGCAAATGTTTGCATCTAAATGCACGTAGCATTCGCACAACTGGTACCATTCGCAGTTCATGAATTCCCCCTAGCGTTATGTGAACGTTAACGAACATTCGTTATTTAGTTAAATTAGGCCATCAATAAAACGCTCAATTCATTAATGATGGATTCAGTGAAAGATTAAAAAAAACCAGATCTTTTTATATTTGATGCTAATTTTGAAATAAATTAAACGTTTATTGAACTCATGTCAAATGACTACTTGCAAGTAATCACCAGACATAATAAATTAAGAAGTGAATAAATTTCAGAATTGTTGTCCAAGCCATTGTTCTATTGTCAAAGGTCGGTATTTCTTCAAGTGATTAGCAGCAGCATGATGACGATCCGCCCGATGACGATCCGCACGATGACGATCCGCACGATGAGGATCCGCACGATGACGATCCGCGCGATGATCTACGTCGTCGTCTACGCCCACATGATGAAGTTTCACAGCACACAACGGCAACTGGAATTCCGCTTGATGATCCACACGAACCGCACGATCCAGAAGATGATCCACACGATCCACCAGATGACCCACGTCCAGCAACGGCGGCTAAATAATACAGAAGTTTGTAAAGGTGTTTATTCGAGTTTCTATGGTTTGTCTGACTTAAATATACCTGGATCAGCCGCAGCCATTGGTGTTGGTTCTGGCTCTGCACTGGGTTCGGGGAAGGCGGTTGAAAGAGCCTGTAAAAGCAACAAAAATTAGTTATTCGGTGCAATTTTTGGTGTTGAATGCAAATAATGGCTCGAAGCTTTTAGCTTCCACTTACAACCAAAGCGAAGAGAGCAACGAAAGCCAAAATGAATTTCATGATGATTGAGTTTTTTTTTGGATTTGTATTCGAATTGTCAAACGATGACTGAATGCTTTTGGATGGATTCTCTCGGCTATTTATACAGAAAAGTTTTTGCTTATTATTCTATTGATCGGCTGTTTAGAACAATGGCCATGCACCGCATGGTTTTGTCAAAAAATGGATTGTTGAGACATTGTTTTCATATTTAAAAAAAAGAGAACAATTAGATAATAAAACCACGATTAGTCTTTCTCTCCATCTGACCATCAATTTATCTATTTCTGACATTTTTCTATTCATCGCACAATGAGAGGGAATAAATCCTTTTGTTCCCTTTGTTTGCATTTCTATCGTCAAAAAAGAGTGCAAATTATTTTTGGATTTATTGGTGTCATCAGATCGAAATTTAGCAATGAATATTGCGTTTTTACACACATTGAAATTTTGTCCCGGACTTGATTCAAGTGAATTGCTTGAAATCAAAAGAATTGAATTCAAGATGGCATTTAGAATAGCACGACCATTGTGTACGTATGAAGCATTGACTAATCGACAATCATGAAATTGAATAACGACTAAAAATAATGCATTTCAATGAACACATGTGCCACACTTTTGTGCAAAAAAAAGAGTCTCTTTTGTTTGGATTACATTACAATCCAATGAATTTTTAATATGTCCTATTCGAAATTATTGCCAAATCAACTGTCTACCAAAAATTTCTAAGAAATCTTAAAGAAATATTATCAATTTACATACAGTAGTTGATAAAGCAAACCACCATTTCAGTCGTATGTTGCAAGCGAAAGCCAAAGTGCTGCGAACTAATCTGTTGCCGTAGAAATCACCGATCATGCAAATCTTCATGGTCACCATGCTGTTGCTGAACTTGCGGACAACCAATCATCGCCCAAAATGCAAAAAACGATTCGCTTATGAATATAATGGGATTATCGATTATCCCAGTTCACAATGACCTATTCTATTTATTGTCGAATTATGTTTGCATGCATTCAAATATTGAATGGTTCGAAATAAACAATTAACTTATTATAAAATATTGCATGAAATCCAAGATGTTTGTTTTCACTGGAATCTCAAATTTTCTGTATATGATTGAATTGCCCTTAATTTTCCGTGTGATTGTTGCAATAGAAAGTGAGTCATTCAAACGTTAAGTGAGAGAGATTCACTGCGATAGTATATTCAATTGCCACCTAAGTTCAAGAACATTCAAAGCGACTGTTTTACTGAAGATCAAGAAAACAATTTCCTTT